ATTTGCTAAATCTTGACTAATGAGGGTTTTGCCTTTATCTCGGATTTCGTTTCACAGTACCGTAATTAAGGAATATCAGATAATCCATGTCTGTATGTCATTGTTTAATAACTTTCTCGATGGGGCTTTAGTTGCATAAAGCCAGCCTAACAAAGGAAGGAAAACTGCTTTGAATCTCTGGTTAAATCTGGGAAATATTGTCGAAAGACACTTCGCACTCTCACTCCTCACAATATCCAACAAATATCCACAACTCCTCACAATATCCATGAGTACACGAAGTTGTTTGATGAACCAAGCTTTCAGAAGCAATTGTTTAAAGCAGCGAAGGACATATTTCATTGCTTTCTACTATTTTTTTCGTATACTTTGTAGGCATATTAGCTTTATATAAATATGTGACTTATTTAATAGATATATTCAATTTAATTAATGTAATAATGCGTAATAATTTAACTTAATAATGTGGTATGTATTTGAAAATATGTTTTCGCATAAGCTCGGAAAGAAAATAATTTGAGCAAATTTGGGTTTTCTTCAAATGTTTCCTGAAGAAGTATATAAGTAATGTAATAAGCAACCGCGATGTAACGCTGGTCCAATAATTATTTTTTAAAAGGGGGCGAATAATTTAACCTATTTCTTTAACAGAATACCTCGACCATTTTGAACTACAAAGCGGATTAGGATAAAAATGGCCACTTACGGCCGAATGTAATCAAATTGATTTTCACCATGAAGAGAATCGAATTCTGGTTCCTAATCGATGAATGCAAAATTTAATTCACAGAATTTTCCATTTGTTGCACTTTTTCAACAACCTTTTCACCACTTGCAGATGCTCATTTGTGCTGTTGCCGGACCGCAAACCTTCCACTGTTCGCAAATATATCAATCGGTCCTACTTTGGGACTACTTTAAACCCTGCTTCCCATTATTCATTCAAATTGGATGACCCATATTCTGCCAACGATTTTACATTAAATAAAAAATAAAGGCTTACTTTAAAAACTCCATTGTGGAAGATTTGTGCTAGTTGTAATCTTCTATTACTTAAAACGTTGAACTTTCTTGAAAGTTTTCGTTAAAAATGGCACAAGATCGGAGCGCGGAAAGTATTTAGAGTAATTATTGTCATAAATTTGTTCGTGAGGAAAATTGAGGATTAATATCGTTTGAAATCATTAATTCTGAAAGTGTTTTATGTATTTCAGAACCCAAACTTTAAAACTATAGAAAATATATTTTCAACTTGCAGCCTTCCAACAGCTGTTTTGAGGCGACTCCCGTAGCAGCATTGCAGTTACTCAACTACTCTAATGTTAAATGGCATCCTACATCTTGCGCCTAAAATCCGTTAATTACAGTTGACTCAAAGATACATCGTTCAGAATACAAGCAAATACTTATAAAATGATTTGATTATATCAAAATAACAGGGCTCACGTTCAGATTCCGGCCATCTGGCTTACAACCTAAATGACTAACATTCATTAAAACATGATTTGCAGAAATACCGCAAAAACTTTGCGCTTGAAAAACTAAACGAAACGAACAACCATAGATAACATCAGTTAATTAGTTGCGAACAGAGGCAAAACATTTTAAAAGTCTGCAATGTTTTGACGTTGGCATGCTTTCGTAAAACTTTTGCGCTGGAAAGTTTTAAATTAGAATGGCCAAAACGAATTAATCTGTATTTCGTGAAAATTTTAATTTAATCCCCCTATCGGTTTAAAATAAACAGACAAGTTTTCACAACAGTTACACAGTTGAGTTGCTCAATTGTCGTAAGACGTTATGTTGGTGTCTTTGTAACACTTTACGAGTAAGTTCAGCAGAATTGCTTCAGCTACGCTTGAAGTGAGTGGGTCTGACATTCGCGAGTTTATCAAATCAATCCCTCCTGAACACTGATTATCCAATCATCCCTGGACAACGCCCAGCCATTGCCCGGAAGTACCACCGAGCCATCTAACGTCCCAGTTAGTTATAAAGTAATGTAATCGACTCACGTGAGAGCACACATGAATCAAACAGTTGCAGAAAAAATGTTAAATAGCCAACAACGACAAATAAAGTATTACAATGCGTTATTAGACATTTATTTCGTTAAAAAGTCAATTAATCACTGCCATCTTCGCCACAAAGAATCGAGATAAATATAACCTCTTCAGCCAATATTTATCTCCTGAATTAAGAGGGCTTCGCGAATGAAATCGCTTTATCTTAATGTAAATAATCCAAATGGAGACGATAAGATTTCTATGGTCATTTTCGTTCGAATATTCCTTGAGCAAGATATGTGAAAGTTTAAGTGATCTTCATGTTAATACTTTTGTGTGTAGGTAGTCAAATAATTATGTAGTTAAAGTACGTGAGACATATCTAGTAATGCTTTACTTTATATAATATTTACTATCTCTTTCCATCAGTGTTTTCAAATTATTTTAAAATTTTATTTCTGTACGTTTATCTATAACAAATAGCATCCCAAATTTCGAAATTTTTTGCCAAGCGTACAATTATTGAAGGAAACTACCGTTTTCCTATGAGTTCCTTGGCTCCTTTATGAATGTTTTCTTTTAGTTTATTCCATGCTGTGTTCGAAGCATCTGACTAATATTCGGTCGGTCTGAATAGAGTTGTTTGGTGCTTTCGTGATTGAGCTCTTCTATGTTAAGGTTTTCAATTTTGATGCAAAAAACAAGTTCCATGGGCATTGCCAATGAGTAAGAATCACAGCGATGAACATCACAAATCGGACGCCTTCTCCAGCCACTTTTAGAGAGAAAACTGTATTTTCTTAGAGTACGAAACAAAATACTTAAGTTAGAGAAGAACGGAATACCTATTTTAAGAGATGGACTGGATAACACACTAAAAAAAAACTACAGACCCATCCCGCTACTCCCGGTGTTGAGTAAAATGTTTGGACATGATGAAAAAGACTACATAATTAAGTAGGAGATCGTATTCTAAAATATCAGTTTGGCTTTGAGCCCAAAAAATCTCTCCAACATCGACTATTTGTCCTTACCAATAATATACAAACCACACCTGCCCGCAGGCAAAACTGCCAGCCTGTTTTAGACATAAATAAGGCCTTTGACATTGCTTGTATCGAGGGATTAGTTTAGAAGCTACACAAACTTAGCACTCCAAACTACTTAATACAAGAGGCGTGCTAAACGGTTATTTTTCTGAAACAGGTTATAAAGTTTCAGTTCCACTTTGATATTAAGTTCCAAAATGCGGTTTCAACAATTTTTCATTAAAGATTCGCAATAGAAATAGTGACAATAAATAATGATTTAGTTTATAAAAAATAATTCGTCGCATTGGTAAACTAAAAATAATATGTGCCGCATCGGTTTTGTGCTGGTACGGACCACTTTTTCAGGTTGAATAACCGTTTAAATTGGCAAGATGGAACAGTTGTTACATGTTTTAGCGGTTACGTTAATTACCGACCATCCCTCCTTAATACACATTATTAAACAACTACTCGAAGACAGACAACTGGAGGTACGGATCGACGCCGACTACTCTATCCTGTTTTCGCAGACAAGACCAAGAAGGCACAGATCAAAATTTACTCCAAATTACGGCGTTTTAATAATAACGCCTAAATAGAATTTTATTACACCACCAGATACTTTACTAGAACACCTACAAACGCAACTGAACTAACGACTAAGACCTGTTTGTTTTGTAAGCCAGGATTTTTTTTTATCACTGATTATTTTATACCAGTGTTAGAAATAGGAATTAATTTTAGAATAAGCTAGGCTAAGACACATATGTACTACTCAAGGGCAGAAAAACCGATTGGGTCGATAGATTTTCTATAGGAAGTAAAGATTATTTATATATATATAGAATTTTATTCCACACGATAAAAATGCATAGCGGAGTATCATCCAATCAGCGCTACGAAACTCACGAATTATGACTGAAACATGCAAATCTACCGAAAAATGTGTCCATTTCTTTAAGATGCACAAAACTGGATGTTTTCCGAAAATATGTAAACTTAATGGCAAACTAGTATTATAAAATGAGAGTTGAAAAGGTTAAGTAGTAATTTACTGTAAATTTGATATGAATGATGAAAGCATGACCAGTACGGATTTTGAAATTCTTCAATAGCAAGAAGTTCAATTTCCAAATCTAGTTAAATAAATTTCGGTCTCTGTGCAATTTTAGGGGCTTCCATTAGGAGAACGATAAAATAATTCGAAGTAGTTTGTTTGCACTATCTCAACTTGCTCGTTTCACATGCGGAAAAACAGGGATCGTTTGGAGTGCAGACAAGTCTTAACGGCAGCTTTACAACCTGACTTTTTCGGATAAAGCAAATTCATTTCCAGACTTTCGGTATTCGGAGCATTCAGAACGAATTAGTTAATCTTGTGGAAAAAATTCTGCTCTCTGTTTGTTTGGTTGAGAATTCGACGAATATTATAATTGACGAAAAATTGTATTTAAAATCAAAACGCATCATACATGAATAAACCCTATGAATGAATGCTCACGATGAAGTTTCCATTTAACGCAATTCGTGAAAAGAACGATCACACGTGCAGGTAATTAAAACATTTGAAAATGGGAAAAATTTGAAAACATAAGTTTCAAATTGACACCGTTTATAATAAACCAACAATTAGTCAATATAATTAGACCAATGAAGAAAACACTACAAATAAATGATTTACTGTTAGTAAATGATAGTAAAATAACAGAAAACCAATTTTTCGTGTGTTTTAACTCAATTACAGTATGTTTAGATCTCACTTTCCTGACTTACTCATATGTATCAAAATCAGTAATTGTAGAGTATAAATGAATAACGTATGGGGAAATGAGAGGACCCCATTTATTCGATTTATGTAGACACAAAGTGATTACATCCAATTAATTTTCAATTAAATGCCATGTTGGATATATTCTAAAAGTTTTGTGACTTCTTTTCTAATAACTTTTTTCTATATTTTCAGCATATGTGTTACCGTTGTAGTTCTTAATGTACACTTCAGATCACCACAAACACACCGAATGTCTCCATGGGTAAAACGCGTTTTTATTCACATTTTACCGAGGCTACTGGTAATGAAAAGGCCACAGTATGTTTTCGACACACACAGGTAAATATATTTTCTTGGTGGTTTGGCGAGATGTGGAAATGTTCAAAATTTACAGACATGTATATATGTCTATTGAGGTGTTAGGGGTTGCTTTAAGTTTTAAGGAACTGCGTATTTTCCAGCAAATTTATAACAAACAGCCTACTCACAACTAGTGGGACAAACATTTCATCGTCTTGCATGTATCCATACCATACAACTGTGCGAAGGCCCAGCACGAGTCCGAAGCAAAGGATACCTCCTTCGTCTAGCAGAACACCATCGAGAGAAAATATTCCACACAGGTAAAACATCATTAATTAGACCAGTTTTTAAATTTTCTAGCCAATTTACTTACATAAACCGTCTGATAATTTGGAACTAACAGGCATTCCCATTTATTTTATAAAGTATTTAGAGAAGTGACACTCCCCTCAGCACGCGATCGTATTAAACTTTGCGTGCGTTGACAGTTTATTAGGTAAATTTGCATGGAAAATGCACATTCTTGCAATTTTAATGTGCACTTTCGTGTTTTATGACGGCGGAATTTCGAAAATTTCATTAATTTAGTGTTAAGGATGGTCTTTCCGCTAGTGTCATTTAATCGCACTGTCTGAATCAACATACACACTTTACATTCCAAGAATTTGAAATATATGTTTTAAACGAATACTAATTTAATCATGAGAGTAAGTAAGAGAGAACCAGTTTTAAGGCCATTCATGAAAGACGAAAATTACTAAATAGTCTGATGAGGATGCGTCTGATGTGGATGATACTAACAGGAATGTAAAAAGATTTTTAATTTTTTTTTCGGGAATAATTTGGGGGGGGTTAATAAATTTTATAATAAAGAGATTCAACAAGATTTAATTCACGAGAAAAAACGTACCGTGTAGGTGCAGTCAAGAATTGCGAAAAAATAACATATTTTCGAGAAGGTTAAATGTTGACAATCTCAGAATGTAATTCATCGTGTTAGCCTCGACTATCCTCAAAAACCGTCGTAAGAATATTATAGTAAAGTAATTTCGTAAATTATCTATGCAAACATCTGCTGAAGGAACTGAAAGTGTAAAAGAAAATGTCGGAAAATCGTTAAGGATGCCTCCTCAAAGTCTTTACACCTTGAGAGTCAAAGCCGCGAAGAAAGCTTCTTTTAGGGCAACCGGGTGAAAACCTTTTAAAATAGTCTGACTCTATTGATTGTGGCCTTGCATCTTTTCGGTGAAAATATGCACTATTTTGTGAGAAAGTATGGAAAAAGCTCTTACTGAATTGTTATTTTCTCATTGTGAATGAAATCCACACGGGGAAGGAATTCATTTATTTGCGTTTAATGGGCTTCAAACGCATAATCGCTTTCATCACTAATCT